CACTTCGGTGTACCAATTATTGGTATACCTGTGTTTGCTGACCAGTTTCTGAATGTCGTAAAAGCTGTTAACAAGGGTTTCGCACAACGAGTGGACCTGTCTTATACTATGGCTGATAAACTAAGGGAAGCTATAATCGAAGTTACCAGCAATAAAAGGTGTGTATGTATCTGCATTAAAGAGAAAGACATTAATGGTTTTCGACAATGAAAAGTGTGAATTTTAAAAGTAATTGATGAATATATTTGCGTTCATTCGTGAGTTATTTATAAGTCTGTTTCGTGACTGCGTTACAACTTCCATGGTACACTTTTTATACTTCATCTAAGTTATAGACTATTTTAAAATTAACAGATATGCAGAGAAAGCGAAGGAATTATCCTTTATCCACCACGACCGTCCAGTAAAGCCAGGAGTTGAGCTGGTGCACTGGGTGAACCACGTGATTAACACACGCGGCGCACCACACCTGCGCTCCCCCGCCCTGCACGTCCCCTTCTACCAGAAGATGTATTTGGACCTGGCCGCGGTCCTCGTCATCCTGTTCCTGGCTGGACGAGTACTCTTGAAAAAAATCTGTGCGGCAGTAAAGTCGAAAAAGAAATCAGGAAGCCAAAAGAAGAATAACTAAGTAAAATAAACTGCAAAAGACTGTTTAATGTGTACATCAATTATTACTGTGTACTTAATTTAAGTATAAATAAAACTGTTAAAGTTTTTTTATATGATGGTTTAATTTTATTCCGTACTGCCTCAGTGGCCGAGTGGTCGTAAGTGCGACTGCCGTGCAAGGGGTCTCGGGTTCGATACCCGATAAACCAAGTTTGCCCCAAAGTTGGTTTTAAAAAAATCTCAGTAATGGCAGGAGTCTGGAATTGTGCCCGGTATATGGCAATAGTCACACTCCCATGGGACTTATAACATAAAATAAATAATGAAAAGTGGGTGTTTCATTGTTCAGTGGCATTAAGTGCCGTAGTGAGTACCTTGGCCTAACCCTTCGGGGATAAAAGGTGCGATGTTATGTTCTGTTATGGTTGTATTCTGCACTCTCTGCTACTAGCTCGCGACTTCTGTATGCGTAATCCCATTTTTTCCGTTCCGTAGGTTATTCGCGAAATCCTTGGATAAAAGTATTCTACGTCCGTTTCCTGATCCTAAGCTACCTCCCTACCAATTCTCACCCAAATAATTTAGTCATTCTTGAGTTATAAATAGTGTAACTAGCACGTTTTTTTTTTTAATACCTAGGTAGATCGGAAACACATGTGTCCACACCCAATGCCTATCATCGATCCGTCAGACAGATTTTAATAAGAAAATTATCCTCTTCCTTACTCTCGGCCTCAGGATAACCGTCAGGAATTGAATACGCTGTGTGGAATACACCTTCTATAGCATAAATAATATCTCTGTTCAAACTCTGAATTGAACTGGGTAGGAAGATAAGTTGATTGCCTTTATAAATATGTATCCTGTGACGATCCACCAATTCTAACAACTTAAAAAAACGAACCTAAGAAATAAAGTTCTTTCATTTAGTCTTTTTACGAAACGCTTTCTGCTCTGTTGTCACTATTTGATGTGGGATAGGTATTTGAAAGTAAATAGTAAGTCTGACTTAACATTTAATACTAATTATGATAAAGTAACAGGATCAATGAGAAACACACTTAAAGACAAATCTAAAAATGACTTCATTACTCACGTCTGGTAATGGCTTGACTTCTTCATCAATGTGGTACCCGCCAATGTGCTTGTAGCTTGGTGGTAGTGGCACTGCGTTACCCATCGCCACTTGCGAGTTGCCCAGCAGTAAAGATGCATTATACTTCAGCACATTATAATCAGGTACTGGTTTCCCTTGCTCCTTTAGAATAGGGACTACTTGCTTTTGGTATATAGCTTCTTCTACATCATGGAAGTCACTGAATCCAAAAAAAGTTTTTTTATTAATAATTAGGGTTTAGTCCTAATTTTGTGTGACGGTTCAAATAATATATTATTTTGTTTATTTAATATACCCCTTTCCATGTAAAATTTTACATGAACTTCTTTGATAAACAAATCAATCAGCACAAAGCGATACTCACAATTTATGATAATATAATCCTTTAATTTGAGTCCAGAGCTCCCGAACTCTGCCCATAAACGTGAATGGAGGAATTTGAGCCTGAAGGTAGTCGGTGGTATAGGCTGGGTTCATAGGACCACTGACTAGGTTCATAATTGTCCAATGTGGCTCTATGGTGGAGAACCAGATATAAGGGCACTGGAATACTGCTGAAAACCTAAAAAAATAAATTTGATCTTGATTACGTCTACCAAAAATGAGTTGTGTTCATTATCCATCCATACAAGACTGTCTGTATAGGTTTTAATGTGTCCAAATTCATGGTGATAAAAATCCAACTAACTTACGTGGAAAACAAATCATGGAACATGTACTCGAGAATAATGACATCAAACTTCTCCTGTGGGTCTCTCATCATTCTCTGAACATTTGGATTGCCCAGTGTCATGTCAGCAATTGTCGATAGAAGTTGAAACATGAATTTAATGTCATGCAGATCTACTGTTCCAGCAAGAATTTGCTTGAAATCCAGCATATCTCCTGCGGCTGTTGAAATACGTGTCATATTTAACTTTTGATTAATCTTCAGAGGTTATGATACTGATGTATTAGAGGGTAAACTTATTGCAATACTACGGGCAATTGTTCAAACTCTTCCTCCTCTAAAACTACAAATCTTAATATATTCCATCATGTTTTTGCCAAAATGTCTAAAAATAGCTCATGATGCGCCATCAATATACTAGTGACCAGGAAAAAATTAAACTTATATATTAAGTCATGTTAATAATATACTATTGAGTCATCTGTTAAATCATGTAAATAATATTGGTTTATAGAAATAAGATATCCTAAATTAGTACACATATAAAGTTACTTTCGCCTGTGATACAAGGCATTCCTGGAACAGGCATCTAACTTTATAAGGCCTACATCACTTATTAAGATTTATTTTTGTATTTTGCACATTTTATCGTTAATAAAGATAATATTAACACATTAAACGCCATGGGGTCACTGGCGCCTGTCTTTAGCGAAGGATTTGCCTTCAATAGTTTTTTTATTGGCAGTCTAAGTCATAAAAATTATGAAATAAACAATTTCATGATCATCATCATCATCTGCTTCTATTTATTTCAGGATATAGACCTCTTTGATTATAATTTAAAATCTTTGTGACCATTTACTTACCTTTGAAAAATATTTCGATGTCATTAACATCCACTAAATGTAGGTGTGTATGATTCTTCTGTTTTTGAACGTAAGGCGTTACATAAGTTACCTGAAAAAGATGGTAAGTGTCAACATCAAGAGAGTGAATCAACATCAAGAAGTATAACCTGGGTGTCTTTAAGGCCCGAGTAAAGAGGTTGCTTATGGGTCGACGTGCTCCATCGTAGGCCGTATCATCGCTTACCACCAGGCGAGATAGTGGTCAAACGTCAGTCAAATCTAATTTAAAAAAAAAAACATAATATTTCTCAATGGAGTTGTGCAATACAATATCGCACTTATGAGCAATGTTGGAACCTATTAGCTAAGACTGATAAAGTGATAATATAATTGACTGTTTGTTGTCCGTGATAAATAAAATAAAAAATAATAAATAGTGTTTTGTTAAAGCGCATTAAACAAGATAAAAAATTACGTAAACAGATTAATATACCTAAAGATAATTCTTATTTGAAACACGTCTGATAATAAATGCTTAAATTATACACAAGAAAACACCAATTATAATGTATGGTATATGCGAGTCCTAAAAGTCTGCACCTAGCAACTAGCTTCACTAACAGACTATTCAATTTGACGTTCTAAACGTGGTTAAATAAGGATTAATTGTCTGTATTTCCTGAAGGCTTGCCAACAGGCGAGATAGAGGTCAAAGGTCGGTCCACCAAATATAAACAAAACATTGGAATAAGTCCTTTGGACTTTGTGACTGCGAAAATTTGGTAACTTAACTATGCACCAACTGAATCACCTGATAAACCCTCCCTCTAAAGAGAGAGACCTTTTATTTATTTGAACCTATTTTGATACGATTAAACTGAATTGAAACCTAATCCAGTCCTATCTTAATTCGCGGATGCCCCCTTACTAATAACCAAAAAGAAACATGCAAAAGGTGATACAGAATTGAAATAAGTACTTTAGATATACCAAAATTATATCAACCAGAGCATACTGGCCTTTAGAGTTGTGCTTGTTAAGGTGAGCGATTACCTAAAATTGGCCAACCATTCCATGTGACAGAATGGTGTCTATAAACAGCATAGCAACAATCATTATGATCAGATTGCTATGCTATATTATCCTATTTATATAAATTATTAGCCCTAAGACGTTCACTACTGAAATAGTCCTTCCCTAATGACTTTCCGATGGGCCGGTTGGAATTTACCTATAATTATTTTTATCAAAAAATATTTTTTTAAATAGTTAGATGTGTACTTACTTCGTGGCCAGCATTGAGAAGATGTTTGACCATATTGTCTCCAAGAATGCCATGACTGGGACTGGGCATAGGAAACACGGCCAAAATTTTATAAGCATCACATGAAGACAAACTTATTACCACACAAAATAAAAGACATCTAAGATTTTCCATTTTCGAAAAACTTCTTAAACTAAGACTTTAACCTTTTTGGAATATTTTTAATATTTGTTTGTTTTTCACTTTGTGCGTCGCGGACTTGATACTTCCACAGAGTGACTGACTGACGACATTCGACGCGACCAATCAACTAACGAATTTTAAAACTACGGCTACTGTTCAACTATTTATTGTAACTTGTTATCTTCATTAGAGCGTCTTTGTGAAAACAGTGACTTAGCGGTTTATGTATGGATCTTATATGAAGCAAAATAAGATCCATAGCTGTCTCAATTGAAAATCGCTTAATCACCGTTACAAAGAATTTACATCGATTAGGTAATTATAATAATAATTAATAAGCTATTTGTTCTCCAAAAAGACGCGGGATAAGTCACGTTTACATATACAATTGTCATGTAAAATTACTTTGTCGCATTAGATTCTGCAGTGACTAATGTTATACTATATGCACCCACTTTTCACTATTTATGATATGAGTCCCATGTAATAGGGGGTGCGCCTACTGCCATGTACCGGGCACAATTCCAGATTCCGAGCTACTACTGAGAATTTTTTAAAAACTCAGTAATACTTTGCCCGACTCGGGAATCGAACCCGAGACCCCTTGCCCGGCAGTCGCACTTCCGACCACTCGGCCAACGAGGCAGTCAATTGTGTGCAATAAATAAATAAACTACGCCAAAACAAATGCTAACAATCAAAAATGAATTGATCAAACACTATAAATGAAACGACCTAAAAAATCGAACAATCATAATATTATTATATCATTATTTTTTTTTAAAGTATCGATGGAGTTTCTTTCTCGTTCTTCTCCATTCGAAACTACATTTTGGAATGAGCATCTAGCTTCACTAACAGACAGACGGACGGACTATTCAATTTCTGACCTTTCAAAATGGCCTAATTAAGGATTAATTGAAGTAAATTCATGATCAAAGTCAAAACTTTGATCAAATGACGACAAAACAGTCTGTTGTAACTTTAGGAAAACTGAGTGTGCCTGTGTGTTGGCCTAAATTAGTTTTTTTATTTAAAGTGTTGACTTACACTAGGATTGTCTCCTGTGTCGTGGGTGCGTTTACAAACATACAAGTTCACATACACATGACACCCAGACCCAGAACAACAATCTGTGGATCACACAAAGAGTTGTTCCGTGCAGGTATCGAACTCGCAGCACGTTGCGCGGCAGTCAGTTGCCCAACCACCGGGCCAACCGTGCAGTTCCTTCGCGACGAGTTATACGAAAGATATTTAATCCCATAAAAAAGCTAAATTTAATAGAAAAACATTTGCACACGGGGACTTGGCAGATCTGTAGTCTTAATTATTATTCACGTTAATATTGTAAAAAATTAAAAACTCAGAATGACAAGTAAAATATTAAACTATTGCTTATTATAATTTACTTAAACTAATAGAGATTACATCAATTTGATGATTGGAAAATTTGTGATGGTGACTTTGAAGTTTGATGAACTGGTAATGTTATAATCAACGATCACTGACGTTCGAGCTTCGTGAGAGATTAGGGAGAACTAATAATAACGATGATATAACATTAAACTCATTACGAACAAACTTTTACAAAAAAAAAGGTAAAAGCAAGGTGTATCTAATAGTCAACAAAGCTAAGGCAGGCAAACATTTGTTTGAGGCAGTAGGAAAGATATTCTTGTAAAATGAACGATAACAACAGTGGCTACATTTATAACATGTCCTGACTGACTTTATCACTCATCACCACCGAACTCGAACTATCAGCTATAACACACGAAACGTCGTATTTGAACTATTGATTGTAAACAAATGAATAAGTTTTGAGAAGTATTGAAAAATTTATCAATAAAGGTCAATAGCTTGCGTTATATATTTCAAGTTAAAATATTCAGAAACGTGCAGAGGTGAATAGAGATTGATATTTCGTTGATTAGTCACAATGTCCGTAAGTCACGCGAACGAAGCCGCGGGCATCAGCTAGTGTTGTAATTATTGTAATCGTTATTTTTATCAAAAAATCTTTCACGAAAAACAGTGACATCAGCAGTTTATGGATGGATCTTATATTAAGCAATATAAGATGCATTACTCAGACTATAAAAAATCACTTAATCACTGGTGGACCAACATCCTGATGGTATCTTTTACAAATAAATTACGTAGATTAGATAATTATAATCGTTATAGGGAAACCTAGGATGCTGAATAACTGCGATAGAGCCACTCTGCCGAGTAACACCCACTTTGAGGAGTGGCTAGAGCATAGTCGCCACGGCATCGGCACTTCGCGCCTGGCTCAGGTGCTCTCCGGACCTGCAAAAGGATTTGGTTCGGGTAAGGTCCAGTATGTCGTCGGTGAGAACCACTCGGAGCACCCGGTGGAGCATACGGTGAAGGTAGGCCCCGCTTGGGTTGAGTATCGCTATGTATTAACGGAAACTATGAACAGTGGCGGCTATAAAACTGTTTCCTCTTTCTGCGGAACAGCGCTAGCTAAGAAGGCAGCAGAGCGTGGAGGAAAACATACTTCTTCATGCCCCAGCCACCGCATGAGACACTCCAAACGTCATCGTCTCCGGATGATCTGCGGCTGCTATAAGCTATGGTTGTCGAGGTAGGGATCTTCAACATTTAGTAAATAATTGTTTATCAAAATTAACTGTGTCTAGTAAGACTTATTTATTTATTATATTTATTTTGATATCTCCCCTCTATCTTCAATATACAAAAACATAACATCACGCCTTTTATCCCTTAACTAAGGGGTAAGCAGAGGTGCAAATTATACCACTGTCCATTGTAACTTTTCACTATTTATGTTATGAGTCCCATGTAATAGGGGGTGAGCCGATTGCCATATACCGGGCACAATTCCAGACTCCGTGCTACTCCTG